CATAGCACCAATGCCCTGGACATCCTGGGGTGCTGAACTGGACACTGGGCAATAGCACCATGCCCTGGACATCTGATATGCTGTACTGGACACTGCAGTGGTGGTGGGGGGCGGTGAGGGGTGGATCAGGGCAGCAGGCAGAGACTTCTGGAATTTTCCTGAAGATGGGATGTGCAGTAAGAGGTGGGAAGGAGTGGGGAGAGAAAAGGGGGACAGATTTAGGATCGGGGTGGGGGTCAAACAGTGGTCTCAGGTCCAGAGACGGGATGGCAGTTCCTCCACACTGCACAGCACTGGGGATGAAGGCAGAGACTGCACCCCAACTCTCCCCGCTCACCCTCATGCCAGGTGCCATGGGGAGGGGGGTGCCCCCCAGTGCTGGGGCAGGGGCTGGGACTGACCCTGGCCATATGACCCATGTGCTGACTGAGAGACAGACAGCAACCCCGGCAGAGCACCCGGCATGGGGAAGCCCACACCCCATCTCCTCCTGGAGCCCGGGGCCTCCGGGGGTATGGTCAGGGAAGGGGTGTCTCAGCTCTGGGCCTGCCAATCCAGCTCCCATGCATACGCACCCGATACCCTGGGGTGCTGCCGGCCCCAGCCCCGGTGCCCCCACAGCCACACAGTCAAGGGGAGAACGCTCAGAGAACAGGCCAGAGCAGGTGCAGGGCTCCTGGAGAGTAGGTGAGTGCAGAAAGAGGTTCCAGACACACCTGGGGGCTGGGAGGCAGGAGAGGGCAAGGCAGCCCCCTACACCCACAGCCCCACCAAGGGGATTGTGGGTCCCCCTCCCACCAGGGGCTGGGGAGCTGGGGGTCAGCGCTGCCAGGGGAACCACCAGCACTGATGGAGATGGAGAAAAGGACCCCCCCTCCAGGCCTGGCTGGGGCGGGGGGTGGTGGTTGTACGTGGAAAGTGAGATAGAGACCTCTCAGGGTAATAAGCCTAGCCCAGCGGCCAGGGAAGCCCTGCGTAGGCTGCCTTCTATGCAGTCAACCCAGGTTCGATCCCTGGAACCTCACAGGGTCCCCTGAGTACCCCTGGGAGTGATCCCTGAATGCAGAACCAGGAGTCAACCCTGAGGACCACTGGGTGTGATCCCCAAACCAAAACACCAACACAATGAAAACGTCACCGGGTGGCTGCCCAGTTCCGCTTGAGGTATCCGCCCAAGAACTCACGCGAGAAGAGAAGCGCCCGCCCCACTCACGGCAGCAGTGCTGGTAGGCGCCCGGCCTGGCTCACGTGCCCAATGGCAGGGGCGGGGTAGAGAAGTGGGGTCCGTGCTCGTGACGGGCCGTCGGGAGAGGAGAGCAGAGCTCACTCCCTACAGTTGCAGGAGCAGAACCGGAGCGGGCGAGTCTAAGCGACATCAGAGAGGAGAAAGATGCAGGCGCAGACCCTCGGGAGACAGACGGAGGGCAAAGCAGGAGGAGATGCGGTGTCCCCGGGAACAAGCCCACGGACTCTGGCAACAGACTGAGATGACCGGAAGGGGCGGGAGGAAGGGGACAGGGTTAGGTTCCACGCATGATAAAGGGACAAAGGCGCATTGGTGCTACATATAGTGACTCTGCATCTCCAAAACTCACAGATACGGGGGCTGGAGTGATAGCACAGCTGGGAGGGTGTTTGCCTTACACGGGGCCGACCCAGATTCGATCCCCAGCATCCCATACCTGAGTACCACTAGGAGTAATTCCTGAGTGACGAACCAGGAGTTGCCCCTGAGGATCACCGGGTGTGACCCAAAAAGCAGAAAACAAATCAACCAAACGTCATAAATATTTATGTCCTTGTAAACAAATGCCATTGGGCTACACTAGCACGCGACAGGGACAAATGGAGACGTTACTGGCGTCCGCTCGAGCAAATCGACGACTAACGGGAAGTTAAGTGATTAAGTGAAGAAACAAATGTTACTTAAATAAATTCTGTCACTGTTACTGTCACAGTCCTCCCGTTGCCCATCGATTCGCTCGAGCGGGTCCAGTAACGTCTCCATTGTGAGACTTTGTTGTTACTGTCTTTGGTCTATCGAATACGTCATGGGGAGCTTGCCAGGCTTTGTCGTGCGGGCGAGATACTCTCGGTAGCTTGCCAGGCTCTCCCAGAGGGGCGGAGAAATCGAACCCGGCTCGGCCGGGCTGGCTGAGTGCAAGGCAAACGCCCTACTGCTGTGCTATCACTCCAGACCTTAAATAAATTAATAATTGAAATATAACCCAACCAAAAAGCGGGTCAAATGGGAGAATAAAGGAGTGAAGCCTCCGGCTTCTGCGTGGGCTGCTCTGGTGTGACCCCTGACACCGCGTGGTCCTCATCATGGCCAGCTGTTGTCCCGGAGGTCCCAAGTCCTGCTGCAGTGACCTGGAAGACCCCAGCGATGCGGCATCTGGTAGCACTGCACCCTTAGTTTGTTAGGATGCTTGGTGCCCACCTCTGGCCTCCTGTAGGTCCAGGAGGGACTGTTCAGCCCAGCCAGAGTTCCATCGACCTCTTCCTCTGCGTCTCCCTTCCCTCAGCCTGTCCAGGCAAGGTCAGCTGCCTCTCTTCTTCAGATCGCTGCTGGCCAGAAGAGGATGGGCCAGCCGTCCTCAGCACATCCTCATCCCGGCCTGGAGCCAGGCCTGCTGTCCCCCCTCCTCTCGTCCATGTCGGGGCTCGGCTAGCAGACGGCCCACACCTGACTCTGCACCTCACTAACCACTGAGCCTTCCCACTCTCTCTCACAGTGCTCCCGCCCAGACCAGCCTCTGTGGTGGCCAGCCAGTGCCCCAGCACCAGCCTCTACGGGTCTCTGCCTGGCAGGCTATCCCCGGATTTTCCCCCAGCTGGCTCCCTTGGGTGTCCAACAGCACCCAATGGATGCTCCGTATTCGGCAAGGGCAGGACTCAGTGACCGCCAACACGCATGTGGGAATTCTGAACTGCTCGGGGACTCTCCCAGAATTCCCTGGGCTGCCGTGTTGGTGGCACGATGGGCCGTACGATGCCACCTGACTTGGGCAGCTGTGCTCCCGCTCAGGACTCTCCAAGGAGTGTGGGGAAGGGGCCGGGTGGCAGTGGGGAGTGGTGGGGACTGCGGCTTGGGGGGTGGGGGGTTGGGCTGGTTCTCAGCAAACTGCCACGATCACAGGCCTACACGCATGGCTGATGGGTGCATCTGCCATGATGTTTCCAAAGAAGACCATGGTTTCAGGTGAGACAGAGAATTTTCAAGTTGCAACTTTGAAAAAAATCACATCACCCAACTGTTTTGGGCCCTGGGCTCCATGAAAAGGAGAAACTGCCCGGATGGACCCAGGGACCTCTGAGCACTGCTTTGCCCCTCGCTGGCCTTTCCCAGGGTCCCAGACCCCATGGAGCGGTGGTGGGTACTGGGATATGCTTCTGCCTTGGGCTCTGCTGGGTCCCCCGTTCTATAAATCCAATCATGGGGGCGGGGGTTCCTGACAGTCCCCGCTTCGCCCCAGGCCTTGGTTCCTGCTGGCCAGTGAGCCCCGAGGTTGGGAAGAGATGCAGAGACCTGCGGTCCTCCAGGACCCAGGGAACCTCCAGAGCGGCCCACCGCAGCCCCCCCATTACCCAGCCCAGCATCGCCGCGGATGGGGGAGGGGCTGGAGAACACGGCGCCCTGTGGGGTGGGGGACAGGACGGACAGAGGGAAGCTCTCCTTCCTAAGATGGGGGAGAGAACCTCGAGGGCTGAGCCGTGGGGAGCACCGGCCCCGCGGAGCTGGCACACATGAGGGGAGGGGGCAAAGAGTCAGTCAGTGCCTGATGCACCTGCCGGTAGTGGGGGAACTTGGACAGGTGGACAGGGAGGCCGGGAGGGATAACGGAGAACAGGGTTTGGGGGTTCAGAGCCACGGGAAAGCTCTGAGATAGGGCGATGGGGTACCAGTGCCAGAGGCACCAGAATGGGGAAACAGGAGATGGGGGTGGGGAGGGGAGGGTAGTGGAGGGGAGTAGGGGGAGGAGAGGGAGGGGTGGGGGTCTGGGTGGAGAGATGGAAGGGGGCAGTGTGAGCTGGAGGCAGACTGGACTGTCACATGGACATGAGGTACCCCCACAGTGGCTGAACAGGGGAGACCCCAGGCAAGCGCCGCGGGAGGGTCTGCAGGATGCAGGGGTCAGAACGAGGGTCAGAGAATAAGGACAGGGGCTGGAACACAGCGGGTAGGACGTTCGCCTTGCACACGGCCGACCTGGGTTCGATTCCCAGATTCCCATATGGTCCCCTGAGCACCGCCAGGAGTAATTCCTGAGTGCAGAGCCAGGAGGAACCCCTGCGCATCGCCGGGTGTGACCCAAAAAGCAAAATAAATAAATAAATAAGAAAAAAGAATAAGGACAGATTTTCACTGCCCATTGGCTCTGTTGGTGGGGGATCGTGTAACAGCTCAGGGATGCTCTGTCAGGGGGATCCCTGCACCCACACATGCCCCCAAGGGGAACCTGAGTCCAGGGGCTGCTGAGCTGCAGTTCCCTGGCCCGCCCCGAGCCAGCACTCAGGAGCCAGGAATACAGGCGGGTGCCCGGGAGCTGCGGAACCTGCCGTCCCGGCACTGCTCAGCGCGGCCTGAGACCAGACGAGCATCCTGGCCTTGGCGAGGGCCAGCAATGGGACTCGGGGTGAAGGGCAAAGCAGTGGGGAGTGGTGGGGACTGTGGCCTGGGGGAGCGCTGGATGGTCGCCACGGACCCACGCTCCTGGCTGACAGGTGGATCCGCCACGCGTGATACTTCCAAAGCGGCCTGGGGACTCGTTTTAAGTGAGATGGAGAATTTTCAAGCTCTAAATCACTGCATCCCCCAACCGGTTAGAGTTGGGGCCCGGAGTAGCCCAGCTTTGCCGTAAGAGGCTCGGGGTGGTGATCAGGGGTCCCAAAGCCCAGCGTGGGTGCCTGCAGGACCCCCCGTGCGTGCAGAGGGCTGAGCCTGGCCGGTGGGAGGAGTGGGGCAGGGTCGGAGGGGGGGTTCGGCGAGCACGTACCCACTTTGAGCTCCTTCCCGAAGACGGTGCGCTCCCCCAGCGCCGAGCAGTTCCAACGGCCATTGCGGAACTGGAACTGACACTCGTCGAGCCCCATCTGCGAGCCTTCTCCGATGACAATGATGGCGTCCGGCCGGCTCTGGCAGATCGCCCGCTGTCTGGGAGCCAGGCCCGGGATCTTGTTACAGATGATGCTCGCGCCCAGAGCCACCACGGAGAGGCCACTGAAGCAGGGGACACAGAGAGAGCGAGTGTTAGGACACCGGCGGCGGCGGACAACGTCGCAGGCCGTCCCGGGGAGTCAGGCCTGGCCACTCCCCCCACCACCCCCATCCCAGCTGGGGGTCCTGAGTTTTTTGTTTGCACCCCTCCACCCTACCCCCAAATTTATTTGTTTCTCATTCCACAGGTCATAGTCGTGCAATCAGTGCACTGGCGAGGCTTGATCGCCTTTTCGATACCACGGAAACAAAAGCTGCCGCGTGCCATGCGCAGAGCGTTGGGGAACAAAGCGAGAGTTATGGGCTGGTCAGCGGAGACGAAGGGAAGGGCCACATGGAACGAAATCCGGCCTAGTTCAGGGCAGAACCGCCTCGGTGAGGCAGAAACGGTCAGTTACACCTCACACACTCGCAGGGGAGCTGGCCATTAAAAGGACGACTGTTGGGGCCGGAGCCACAGGACAGCAGGGATGTGGACAGTGCTTGCCTTACATGCGGCCAACCCGGGTTCAATCCCTGGCACCCATATGGTGCCCTGAGACCACCACAAGTGATCCCCAAGTGCAGAGCCAGGAGTAAGTCCTGAGCACCCCAGGGTGTGCCCCCCAAGTTTAAAAAAAATGTTTAAATTTTAAAAGCACAAGTGTTGTAATCACAAATGTAGAATGGGAGTCAGGGGAGGGGGTGTTTAAGGCATTTGCCTTGTGAGTGGCTGACCCCAGTTCGATCCCCGGCAACCTATAGGGTTCCCTGAGCACCCCCAGGTGTGATTCCTTAGCACAGAGCCAGGATTAAGCCCTGAGCACTGCCAGAATAGCCCAAATCCTCTCGCTGACCCAAAGAACACCACTGACCAGTGGTAGAGGGACAGTTCAGGAGGCAGCACACACCCAGGGCACACTTGGGGTCCACCCATGAACTGTATGTGCCCAGCACCAGCCGTGGCCCTGGTAGCTGCTAGCACAACCAGACCCGGGCAGTGGGCAGCACCTCATGGTCAGGCTTGAAGGTCCAACCACCTGCACTGCCCAGATGCAGGCATTGCTGGGAACAACCCCCTGGCCCCCAGGAGCACTGCTCAGGAGCCCTCAAAACTGCACACATGTTATCACTTGTTCTATAGCCTCTCTTGTATGTCAATAAACGCTTTCTGGACAGACAAGAAAACAGGGTGTTACACGCCATGAGACTCTTAAGTTCAGTTCCCTCCTGCCTGCAGCCGATGCTGCCCGGATGGGGGCACCCAGGGGGTGCTGGGGGGACCGGGCAGAGCCGGCACTCATCCTCCGGTTGCTACACACCCGTCATGGGCCAGCCCCACTGTGGCATGAAGCAGGTATAGTCACAGTGACCATGACACACGGGTCCCCACTGGAGAGGAAGCAGAGGCCCCTGCAATGGCCACTCAGGGCGGCTGGGCAGCGAAGGGAGCCCACTCTAGCTCAAGGTAGGCTGCCCGGGAAGATGAGAGCAGAGCAGGGGCCTGATTGGCCTGCTTGGCTGTGGGAAGACCTGGGAAGAGTATCCGGGTCAAAGGGCACAGGAAGTCAGGTTTCTTGGGAAGGGGGTTGGGTGGGGATGTGGGGGAGCAGGAACCTGAGGAGGTGGGTACAGGGAGGGCTGCAAGGGCGAGGACCCTGGCGGGGCTGAGGGGGACCAGTGAGAGGGTGGCCTTGGTGACACCTGCTGATGGACAGATGGACACAGCAGCTGCGGGGGAGGGAAAAGGCAATAGGGAGGAGAAGCTCAGGGGTCGGGGACCCCCTTCCTGATACCCCGGGAGCTCCCAGAAATGGATGGGGCAGACCGTCCCGCTCCTGTTCGCGGCCCTCTGCCTGCCTGGCCCTGTGGCCCTGTGCTTCCAGAGAGAGGACAGCACTGCCCCTCCCCGGGATCACCACTGCCCCACTGGCCTGTTTCGGGGTTCCGAGGGCCTGAGGGCCACACACTTGCAGCCAGGGACCCCGGCGCCCACCCCAGCACACACACACACTCGACGACTCGGGCCCCATGGACCTTGCCCTTTGGCCGTGCTCCCTCTTCCCGGATGTTTCCTGCCCACTGGCTGGTCATCAGTCACATGGCCTCGGGGTTCCCTCCCCGGCCACCACGCTGTCCTCACACTACCCAGCAGCACTGGACTCCTCCTCTGTGCTCGGGGCTTCAGGAACGGGGAGACAAGAATGCATCTGCTGTGTGCCTGGGGGGTGGGGCTCCCCGGCAGTGCTGGGGGTCACAGAAGGCTGGCCTCCTGCAGGTCACAGACTGCATCCCTGTGTGTGTGTGTGTGTGTGTCTGTATGTGTACATGTGTATGTGTGTAAGTGTGTCTATTTCTGTATGTCTGTGTGTATCTGTCTGTGTCTGTGTGTATCTATGATTGTGTGTACATCTGTGTTTGTGCATATTGTGTGTGTAAGTCTCTGTGTGTGTTTGTATGTCTATATGTGTATGTCTGTGTTTATGTGTGTGTCTTGTGTGTCTGTATGTATACATGTGTATGTGTGTGTCTATTTCTGTATGTCTGTGTGTATCTGTCTGTATATGTCTGTGTCTGCATGTATATGTCTGTGTGCATCTGTGATTGTGTGTACATCTGTGTTTGTGCATATTGTGTGTGTAAGTCTGTGTGTGTGTCTGTATGTCTATATGTGTCTGTCTGTGTGTATGTGTGTGTCTTGTGTGTCTGTATGTGTACATGTGTATGTGTGTCTATTTCTGTATGTCTGTGTGTATCTGTTTGTATATGTCTGTCTGCATGTATGTGTCTGTGTGTATCTGTGATTGTGTGTACATCTGTGTTTGTGCATATTGTGTGTGTAAGTCTATGTATGTGTGTGTGTGTGTGTCTGCTTGCTGGCTTCCGGGGGTATTTTGTTCTTTTGTTTTGTTCTGGGACCACACCTGGCATTACTGAGGGGTTACTCCCAGCTCCAAGGTCAGGACTTACTCCTGGCAGGCTCAGGAGACCAGATGGGGTGCTGGGGATCCAACCCGGGCCTGCCGTGTGCAAGGCAAGCGCCCTCCCCACTGTCCCATCGCTTGAACCCTCCCTCCGGGGCTACTGAATGAATGGCTCAAGGGCCTTCGGGACACGCTGCGTGGGGTGAGCACCGACACCGTAGCAGGGGCCTCGAGATATGTGTGGAATGCATCCATGAGCTTTCGTGGAATCCCGACCACGTGCCAAGGCGTATGCAGGTGTGGCCACAAGCATTCGCCCGAGTGACCTTTCAAGACAGCCCTGCTGGCCAGGCACAGCCAGACCCATTTCCCAGCCCTGAACACAGGCCGTCTGCCTGGAGACGGGGCCGTCAGGGCAGCAGAGGCGGCACTGGCGAGGCGCCATCCCTGCCAGCCGAGGGTCTGTGGCCGGGGCCAAGTCACCGCAGACACCACGGCCAGGGGTCAGGGCCGCCCTGACTACCTGCTCTGCCAGGGAGGCTGTGAGGGCACAGCAGCCAAGGTCACAGGACCTGCCCACAGGTCAGGCAGAGTGGCCCGTGGGTGATGCCCCTCTCTGTCCTTCATGCCCCCCTCAAGTGAGAAGGTCAGTCGCTGGTCCCCATCTCACTGCTTGCTGTGAAAATTTAATGCGTTAAAACAAAGGAAGCACCAGACACATCTCAAGGACTAAGTAAAGGCGCTGTAGTAATACAGTCATACAGTTCCTGGTATGACTGGGTATTAATGCTACTGCCCTTACTCAGCTGCTGGTGCTAATACTTTTAGTACCACTGCCTGTTACTATAGTACTACTATTACTACTACTACTATTCCCACCATCACTACCACCGATGAGTACCATTAGTGGCCCTAATTTTAGCCAGCTGCAAACTCTCCACATAAAATAAGCACATGGCCAAATCGATGAACAACGGGAGGACTGTGCTACAATGACCGTGCTACAGTGGCCAAATCCCCAGCTAGTTACAGCCAGTCACAGTTGACACAATGCCTGCCCATTTTGCAGACAGATACACGGAGGTTGGATGGGCAACAGAGCCTGGGCCCCCATCTCCTTCTCACAGTGCTCCACACCCCCTCCCCCCAACCAGGGCCCAGGGGCGGGGAGAGGGCTGGCAGGACCCGCTCAGGAGCTCCCTCCCCAGGGCAGTCGGACCCCTGGGGCCGCTGAAGTCCCGGCGCCGGCCAGCAGGAGGACGGACGGGCGAGTGGCGGCCAGGCGGGGCGGCCAGGGGGACGAATTTCTGTTGTTTTCTCTCTCTCTCTCTCCTGCCCGGTCCCTCCGCCCCGGTTCTAATTAAACCGGGAGATAAAGCCCGCGGCCAGCGCCAATCAGCAGACCCGCTTCCTGGACAGGGATGCGCCGGGCGCTGGGGCGCGGGCCAGGAGGAAGATGAAAGCTGGGAACAGACAATCCACCGACGCGGGCGAATCAATAGCACTTAGCGCCCCGGCCCCGCCGCCCGCCGCCGCCGCCGCCGCCGCCGCCGCCCCGCCGCCCGCGCGCACCTGCGGCGGGTCCGCCCGAGACGCGGCTCCGGGCGCGGGGACGCTGCGGGGAGCGGGAGCGACGCCCCTCGCCGCGGCCACCGCCGAGAGCCCCGCGCCCCCGCCCCCTGCACCCGCGCATCATCTCCCCAGTACAAAGGGGGACGCGTCCCGAGCCGCCCCCGCCCCTTCTGCAGACCCGGGGCGCCACCTCCCCCCCAAAACAGGGGTGAAGCGAGGAGGGCAGCCTGGATGCCCAGTTTCGGGGGCCGGGGTGCGCGGCCTCTGGCGGGCTCCCTGCCCCCGGGAGCCATCTCTTGCCCTACCTTTGTGTGTGCGCGCGCGCTTGTGCGTGTGTGCTTGTGTGTGTGTGTGTGCGCGCGCGTGCGTGTGACTGTTTGTGTGTGTTCGCGCGCGCCTGTGCGCGCGTGTGTCTATGTATGTGTCCGCGCGCGGACGCGGGTGTCGATGCGTGAGTTGGGGGGGTTGGTGGTCGGCGCTGTCCCCTGGCCGCCTGCGGGTGCCCAGGGGCGGTGCGCCCCGGCGCGCGTCCCTCCCTCCGGGTACCTGTTCCCGGCTCACACCCGCCCGCCCGCCGCCGCGATCGCCCGCGCCCCGGGGAACAGAATTCCTCTCCGGCTGGAGCTCCCCCGGGGCAGGGAAGGTGCGCGCCCGGCTCTCGTCGCCACGGGACCCGCAGTGCCCAGCTCCGAGGGTCCCTGGGCGACAATGACCTTCCGCACCCGCGAGCCGTCCCCGGGGTTCCCCGGGCTGAGTGTCCCCGCCGGCTGCCTCTGCTTCTGGGGGCTCCCCGACTCCCGCGTCCTCGGGATAGCGCGTCCCCCACCCCCAGTGCCCTGGAACTCCGCGCACCCCCTGGGGCGCCCGCTGGCGGGGGGACTAGGGGGCTTTTGTGCGCCCACCGGGCCTCGCCGAGGGGGGTCAAGGAAGTTGGTGACCGGCGCGGTCGGTCCCCGGGAGCCGCCAACTTTGCGCGCGGGGGGCTGGAGGGCCCTTACCCGATCCGGAGGTAGGCTATGCCCAGGCTGAGGAAGAGGTGGCCCAGGCAGCGCCGCGGTGGGCCGGTCATAGTCCCCGCTGGCCGCCGGGGCCGCGGGCCGGGCTCTGCTGCTCCCGCGGGCCGGCCCCGGCGGGGCAATCACCATAGCCCGCTCGGGGGGCGCGGGCCGTCGGTGCCGGAGGCTCAGCCCGGGCGCGCGGGAGCACGCAGCGGGAGGAGGGAGGAGCGAGCGCGGCGCGGGGCGACGCTGGGCTGCGGCCGGGGCCGGTGCGCCAGGCGCGGGGAGTGCGGAGGCGCCGCCCGCGCCCGCCCCGCCTCCCCGGAGCGCCCGCCCCGCGCCCCGCGCCCCCGCGCCGCGGGACCCGGCCCCACGCGCTGCCGCGGCGCCCCCTCCCGGCCCCGGGGTGCCGAGCCCGGCGGGGGCGGGGACGGGGCGGGGGAGCACGGTTGGGTGGAGGACCCCGGCGTCGGGGCGGCCCCCTCGACTACCCCGACTTCCGAGCCTCGCGCCGGGCTCCCCGGCTCTCCGGCTGCCGGGCAGGACTCGGCCCTCGCGGTCGACGGGCGGGGTGGGGACCGCGAGCGCCGCTCGGCCCTGCCCGGTCCCCGTCCATGCCCGGCGGGTGGCAGCCTGCTCGGAGTCCCCGCTCCTCCGAGCGCACTGTCCGGCCGAGCCCCCCGTACCCCAGCTGCAGCCGGGCCCGCGCGCGCTCGCGGCGACACCTGGCGGCCGCGCGGCCTCGCTGCCCCGCCGAGGTCCGGGCAGCGCCAGCGCGCCCCTTGCTGACCCCTTGGCCAAAGGCTGCCCCGTCCCGAGATCAGGCGCTGCTGGACTCAAGTCACGGCCAGAGGGCCAGAGAAGCTGGGGCGCAGGGACGCGGCAGGGGTGCCCCCAAGCCAAGGGCTGGTGCCTGGCAGAAGCGGGTAGGGAGCCAGGCGCACCTGACCAGGAACGCCCCACCCCACCCCCAGGCCTGCCAGCCTGCTGAGTTGCTCCCCTAAATTACACAGGGGTTCACCCAAGCCAACTGTCCCCCCGCCTTCCTCAGGGCGGAAGGTCTGTGCCAGGCACCACGGCGGGCAGCGAGGGTTGTGGGAATGGGGTGTCCTTGTCCCGGTTCAAGGTGCCAGTCCTAGGTTATCTAACCCAGGATTTCAGCCGCTCCTCCCTTGCGGATGGTGACACAGGGACAGATGAGGACAGTGATGGGACATAGAGGCAGCTCCGGGTGCTGGGGGAGGGTACTCCGTGGGGACCGTGGGAGGCCTGCCCTGCATTTCAGAAAGTTCCACAACCGTTGAGCCACTGAGCAGATGGTCTGGAAGCTTTGATGTCAATGACAGGGTGGTGGGAAGGAGGGGGGGGGGGGTGCAGAGAAGAGCCAGGAGCCACCTGACTGGGTGCAGAAGCTCCAGTGAGGGGCTGTGGGTGGCAAAGTGGAGCCAGGAGGTCCAGGAACTAGGGGGTCCCGCTGGTGGGTTCTACTTTGCATGGACACGGAGGTTCTCTGAGGCTGCTGGGACCCCACGTGGCGAGGTCTAGAGAGGCAAGGCTGGGGGCTGGAACATCCTGAAGCTCCCCCAGAAGGACCCTGGGGTGCAGGGCTGGGAGCAGCCCCGGCCTTTGGAGGAGACCCTGTGTAATTCAGTCCCAGTTAGGATCTGTGTTGGCAAGACCCAGCCCAAGAGCCTCTAGAGGCCCCAGCCTCCAATCTCTCAGTCTCCAGCCTCCCAGCCTCCCAGCTCCAGCCTTTCCAGTCAAGCCTGGTGTCCATGTCATCAACATGGCCCCTTCCTGTGGGCATCTTGAAAGGGCTACCTTCTCTTTGGGGGTCTCTCCTGGCAGCACTGGGGTGGGGGTGTAGAGGGGGGTAGGACTCCCTCTGGGACCCTGTGCAGAGGGCTGACAGCTTGGGGCCTTGCTCCCTTGTGGAGGCAGGCGTCGCTGAGTGGGGGGGCCTGGGTCAGCCAAGGGTTGGGGCCCCACTTCCTCCTCTCGCTCTGCAGGTGCCCGTGTAGGTGCCCAGAGCCCCACTCCAGGGTCCTCCCAGACAAACCACGCAGCTGCTCACAGACCCTGGGAGCACAGACTGAGAGGCTGGGGCAGAGGCTGGCACGGGGCCGGGGCAGAGCAAGGCCAGGGTGCACCTGCTTCCAGCGCTGCTGCGAATGTGACTCAGTGTCTCCCACACTGGGGACCCTTGTGCAGGTCGCTCCTGCTCCATGCAGGGAGCACTCACCACGCAGATCACCCTTGCTCAGTGTGGGAGCACTCACCATTCAGGTTGCCCTCTCTCCGTGCAGGGAGCACTCACCATACAGGTCGCTCTCGCTCAGTGTGGGAGCACTCACCATGCAGGTCACCCTCACTCAGTATGGGAGCACTCACCATGCAGGTTGCCCTTGTTCCATGCACGGAGCACTCACTATGCAGGTTGCCCTTGCTCTGTATGGGAGCACTCACCATGCAGGTCGCCTTTGCTCCGTGCAGGGAGCACTCACCAGGCAGGTCGCCCTTGCTCAGTGTGGGAGCACTCACCATGCAGGTCACCCTCACTCAGCGCAGGGAGCACTCACCATGCAGGTTGCCCTCGTTCCTGGCAGGGAGCACTCACCATGCAGGTTGCCTTCGCTCTGTGTGGGAGCACTCACTGCGCAGATCATCCCGCTCAGTGCCGACACTGGCAGCGAGGCCTCTCTCTACTGCCATTGCCATTACGTCGTCCCTATACTTCTCTTTACAGGCGGAGGCCACAGGTACCACACGATGTTGCTACGAAATCAAGCCCCCCCACCCCCACCCCAGCCAGTCCCTGGCAGCGCTGGGACTTGAGCCTAGAGTGTCTCAGCTTCACACCTGCCCTTTGTCCCTCCGCGAGGCAGAGCCCCTACTAGGGAATGAAGGTGGCAGGTGTCGCGGTATTGCAGAGGGCTGTGGGCACCTGGAGATGGGGGGCTGCAACCAATGGGGGTCAGGGGAAGCTCCCCGAGGCAGGAGCTACCGTCACCAGGTATATGCCAGCGGGACCCTGCGGGCCTGGAAAATGGGGGGTGGGGGTGGAAGGGCTCAACAGGGAGTGTGGGAATGTGGGGATGCGTTTGGAGCGTGCCTGTGGGTTTGGGCTTTGAGCAGGACAGCAGGGGGCCGCTGGTGTGCGGCTTTAATGAAGGGGTCCCTAGAGGACAGCAGGGCTGACCCCAGCTCTGCCCGAACTGGCGGCAGATGGGCCTGAGGGTAGAGAGTTGGAGCCAGAGGCCACTGAAGGTGCCTCTGTGCATGGCAGGCAGGAAGGGTCTGAACGCTCCACAGGGCAGGAAGTGGTCAGGGTCAGTCCTGCAAGAGGGGCCGAGTGCCCCCACTGCCCCCATCCGCACCTCTGCAGTCTGGCTACAGACTCGGATGCCGTCCCCTGATCACTCGCTGGGGGCGCCACTGATGCGGACAGATGGCAACCTGGAACCAACTGGGCACCGCACACTGCAGGACTTCCATTGTGTGTGCATCCCTGTCCATTACTGTGCGTGTGCACTTGTGACTTTACAAAGTTGAGACAGGGACTTGGCCCTATAAGCCCATGTGGGTTTCTTCCCCTCAGGGTCACCCAAACAGGGTCTCACCGGAAAAACCTTCCTCTGTGAACACAGCTTCCAGCCTAGACACTTGCTCTCTTCCTCATTCATTCGTCAAATATTGACTCATCTAACAGCTCAGTCAGGATTAAAGGTTGCCAGGCCTGTGCCAGCAGCAGGAGAGAGCCGTGACACAGCAGAGGGGACCCCTTCCCCCCACCCTTGCTTCCCCTTGCTGGGGTCCCAAGCTATCCCGACACATCCCTGCCACTGGCCGTCTGGGCTTAAGCGGCTGATGTGGGTGTGCGGGCAGGACCGCCTTGGCATCTCTGAACCCTGTGGATGTGTCTCTGCACCCCATGGGATGCGCCTGAGCAGGACCTGCCTTGGCGTCTCTGCGCTCCGTGGGATGCGCGCTGGCAGGAACCCGCCTTGGGGTCTCTGCGCCTTGTGGATGCGTCTCTGCGCCCCGAGGGATGCGCGTTGCCAGGACCCGCCTTGGGGTCTCTGCACCCCGTGGGATGCGCGTGGCCAAGACCCGTCTTGGGGTCTCTGAGCCCTGTGGATGCGTCTCTGCGTCCCGTGGGATGCGCACCCGCTGAGGACCACAGGCGGGAGGAGAAACCCGAGGCGGATACCCGGGAGCGCAGCCCCGCTCCGGCGCCCCCTGGCGGCCAACCTTTTCGAGTTTCCGACTTGCCGGGTCTTCCCAGGCTTGGCGGGGCCGATCATCCCCACACCAGGACCGAGGGCGGTGCTGTCTCACGTCCCCGTGGGACCTCGGACGGGCAGTTCTTCACTGGCAGGGTCATGCCAAGTGTCCAGGCTTTGGCCCCTCTGGCCGGTGGACCGAGCGGTGGGCTCAGCCCAGGGCCCGCCGTGGCTCTGGCGCCCCCTGCCGGGAAGACCGGACAAGAACTCTGGGATGGGGCCGCGATGACCCTGAGGACCAGGTGGCTGCCGCATCCCTCTGGGAAAGGAGGGCTCTGACCTGGGAGAAGCTACGGGAATGTGAGGTTGGGACACACACACACACACACACACACACACACACACACACACCTGACTCAGAGGGAGTACCGCCACGCGGACCCTTATGACAAATGGTCTTTGCAGAGGGCCCCAGGGCTGGTGAAAAGCGCCCCAGAAAAGCACCTGCACTTGCTGCTTTTGTGTCCTCCAGCCTCTGAGCACGAGCCAGCGGACAGGCGTGTGTTACCAAGGTCAGCGCAGCAGAGAGGGGCCAGTCTGGCGGTCCCAGAGTCCTGGTGCATGCATCTAGGGGAGACTGCAGGGAAGGGGCTCCTACCAGCGTGGAGGGACGCTGGGACCTGTGACCGCCTGTGCTTCAGTGCTGCGACCCAAGTCCTGCAAACCACCACCTGCCCCCGCCACCCCCAGGGGCCTGCTGGGAGGGGAGGGCAGAGGAGACAAGGTCAGGAGGTGCAGGAGGCTGCCCAGTCCTTCCTGAGGAGGCTGAATCCCTTAGCAGGGCTTCTGGCACAAGTCAGGCCACAGCCGACTCGGTGTTCTCATCTGTAAAGTGGGGAGAAGGACAATGGAGTTTCCTCCCGGCTGACACGCAATCACATATGTCCAGCACTAGTCACGCACTCAGTATGTGCTCCTGGAAGCTAGGGTGTAGCTTAGTGGCTGAGCCTGCAACTGTCTGTACGAGGCCCTGTGTGGGGTCCCCAGCACCACTGTGA